TATATTGTGCATAACCGTTGAAAACAAAGTCAACGGATTTTTAGGCTTATCCTAACCCTCTTGGGTTTAGGTATTCCCGCCTTTTGCCTGACACCCCCACATTTGTAGAATTTATACAAAGGCTTTTGGATTTTTTTTCGAAAATTCATGCAGGGTCTTCAAACAATTCCTTGTGTCACAATGATTATGAAACTCTCAAAATCATATCACAGTAAATAGATTCCCAGAATGTCATCAACCGAATTAGGCACCCAAATATATTCGGTCTAACCTATCACTCTGAAGCCAATAGTCTTACTATTAGGAAACACAAATCCAATGTTCAATAGTCTACTATATGGAACTTCATAACATGGCCAGTAGTCTTATCACTAGGAATCACAAATTTCTCAATATGTAGTCAGTAGACTTTCTACTACTAGGAATCACAATGTCTTAACCTGTGATCAGTAGTCACTTTACTACTAGGAATCACAACGTCCTGACATAAGATCAATAGACTCTTTCATTACTCGGAATTAGCATGTCTTGACATATGATCAGTAGCCTCTCTACTACTAGGAACCATCATGTCTTGACATGTGATCAGTAATCTGTTCACTACTTGGAATCACAATCTCATAACTGAGTAGCTAGTGGTCTAACACCTCCTAGGAACCACCAGTTTTCTATCTCTGTGATCAGTGATCTTATACTCACTAGGAGTCACCAATTTAAGAATATATTTGGAATTTAAAAATTCAAAAATATATTCACCCACCCTAATGGGTTGTCTCATCTTTGCTTTCAAGCAAAGTCACATAGCAATCATATATGCTATAATTGACACAAGGATAACATACTAATTGCCTCTGATTAATTCAGAAATATTATCATGAATCTTATGATTTCCTTTAATCATACTCGATCTCTCTAGATCTTCTTTTAAGAATCTCGTAAGGCTTAACGTTGTCAGGTCGAACAACATTTCTGTTGTCACCTCTTGAAGCCATGTCTGAAAAATCACAACAGAATTTCACTTCTGTGATTCCAGAAATTAAATTTAACCCTTAGAAAATCCCTCAGATGGAAATTTAATTCAAAACTAGTCTCACCATTTAACCTAGAATCGAACATGGTCAGAAATGTTCCCAGGAAGACAGGAGGGATCACATCGGTCCTACTTAAAACCCAGTTAACCTTTTGACAAAACATTCAAGAGCATGTTGACTCCTAGTCCATAGGAAACAATTTTAAAATTAAGATTTCCAGGGGATAAACTAGGTTATAGGTTATAACAAACCAATTCCTAAGCAAATAAAATTTGCTACCAGAATTACACCACTCATAAAAGTTAATCGGTTTTCCTGGAACTGAGCCCATGAAAGTTAACCGGTACTCCCGGAACTGAGCCCATGAATTATACCACTCATAAAAGTTAACCGGTACTTCCGGAACTGAGCCCATGATTTCTGAATAAAAATCAGAGATATTTTAACTAATGCTAAAATTTGGTTTCATTTCTCAAAAACCAAACCACTTTGGACATAATCAAATTATAACCAAAGACTTTCTCCAAACATGGTTTTCCAACACTTTGGGAATAAAATGATTAAACCAAAGACTTCCTCAAACTCCAAAAGTTTGAAACTAAATCCGTCTTAGTTGTCATTTCTGAACAAATAAGAACTACTCTTTAGCCAAAGCTAAACACTTTGGTTTCTATTACAAAAACCAAACCAAATTCCAAACTTACAAGCAACTTAAAACTTGCTACAACCAAATACATGCATATAAAATGCTTCTAATAATATAAGCAAATAAAACTTGCTTCTTCAAATTGGTAAACAAACCAACTAAATCTCTGAAGCCCTCTTGGCTGTTGCTCTCTAGCAAACTCAAACCTTAAGACACTTTAGCTGAAGCCCTCTGGCAAACTGTAGCCCTCCGTCTAATGCATTCTTTGCAAACTTCAAATGTTCTCATGCTCTCTTGTAGAAAATGAAGCCCTCTTGCTAAAATGAAGCCTACTGGCTTTGCTCAACTCATGCCTTCTGGCAAAAAATTTCTTCAAATATAAAGGAAAAATAAACCAATCCAATTGAGGATTATAAGTAGTCCATACAATTCCTTTCTACGCTTAGGTATGCCTACAAAGAGAGTTAGTAGCAAACGATAACATAATATAAAGCAACTAATCTAAAGCAATTGTACATACAATAAGATATTATTTAACCTTCTAGCAAATCGTAGAATAGCAAAATAACTAAGGAATTAAGATACTATACAAGTTACAAAACCTTAAAATTTATGATCTGAATTACTAAAATTAAATTTATTGCCATGAGTTATAAAAGAATTATTAAATAATTGTTAGAAACCAATAACTATTTAGCAATTAACATGAAAAAAATTCTAAAGATTAAATCATGCAAATCATGGTAGTGGAATGATGAACCATGCGCATAAAATAAGATCAGATAAATACAATTAAGTATACAAATTATGATAGAGCATTCTAATTAAACTAAGCAATTAGAGAATCACATTGCATAATTTACAATCATTGAAATAGGGAGCAATTCCGCAACAGTTTCTAGTAACATTATACAATTGTCTATATAAATCTATTTGATCAACTTCATAGAAAATATATATAAATCTGTTTTAAGCTTGTTGTTCATCTTGTGAAATTAATAAATAGATTTATGAAGAAAACAAAATTAAATATATACTAAGAACACATGCTGATAATTACAACTAAATTTCAACAAAAAAATACAAAACAATAAAATGGCAAAGAAACCAAACCGAAGCCTGCACGGTAGCAGTTTCCTTAAAACAGATTTCGCCGCCTCACGGGCCGAGTGCTTGAGGAATCCCGGCGTCTGTCTCCGAGGATACGACGGTCAAAACCAGCTACGGCAGAAGCACTCTCTGTCTAGCTTAGCGAACAAAACAGTGACAATACTTTCTCACTGTAGAAATTTCTAGCAACCTGGCTAAACAATGGAAGAAATAATTTCTGTGTTTGAGACTTGACAGGAGGATCTCGATTTATACATGTATGGGGAGATAGGAGAAGCCTCCAGCCTTTATAACTGGTCATTAATGTACTATTAACCTCTGCAATAAAGGCAGGAGTTACAAACTCCATTAATGCAGGAGTTACAAACCCCATTAATGCTCTATTCAACTCTGTAATAAAGCCAGAAGTTACAAACCCCATTACCTCTTTCATGAAGCTAACTTCATGAGGTAATTTTTCATTCAAATCTCAATGGTTTTTGGCCATTCTATTTGTGGTATAAAGATCTCATTGTAAAGTATCTAGACACACTTAGACCCAACTCAATAGATGGTTGGGACCTACTTTAATATTTAATTAAAGTCACCAAAAAACTATTTTTTTTTTCAACATATGGTAATAGTCTCATTTTACAAATCCCCCTTCTTATATAAAAGACAACAACTCCTAGTAGAAAAATAAAAAACTATTTTTTTTTTCCAACATATGGTAATAGTCTCATTTTACAAATCCCCCTTCTTATATAAAAGACAACAACTCCTAGTAGAAAAATAGAGGAAATTACATTGAAAAAAAAAAAATTAAAGCAAAAGAAAGGAAAAAAAAGAACATAGTAAGTAAAGCAAGTAAGAAAAGAAAGAGTGCATAAATTCAATGTTTTGATTCCTTCTAAATAATTACAATGACAGGAGGGTTAGTGTAATTTTCCAAATGTTAAGGAGTGATATGTATTAAACCCAAACCTCAGGGGGTTAGTGTAATTTTCCAAACGTTAGGGAGTGATATGTATTAAACCCAAATCTCAAGAGATGTAAGTGCAATTTATCAATAAGTTTAGGGAGCCTCCCTGATTTACCTACAAATTTACCAACTACATTGATAACTCAATTAATTGGAATGTTTTTTTTTTTTTTTTTTTCCTTTGAAAGCCACCACTATTTGGATAAATATGGGAGGTTCCCTAGTGTTATTGGTTTACAATTATTAGTTTAACAGCATAATCAATAGTGTTTTTTAAATTATTTGTAAGTAAAAATTCACAAATTTAATTAGAAGTGTGGTAATTTTCACAAGATTTTTTGCGAAAAGTCTCTTTTATTTAATATGTAGTACAAACATACAGATGGATAGATACATATAGATATAATTTCGGAAGAAAATTTAAAAATTTACTATACTTGATGGGTAAAGATTAATGTATGAAATATGGAATATTTATTAATTTTATAATAAATGCATTTTAAATTTTACTACAAATGTATAATTAGGAAATAAAAAATAAAAAAAATTACCCTACTTGATGGGTAAAGATTATTATTTTTTGTTTTTATTCCTGAATGAAGAAGCTCCTACTAACAACAAACCACCATAAGACAATGCGCATTTAAGTAGAGCCTCCTGTATGTCCTATTCCTCCTCCACAAATAAGTTTTCCTTTCAGATCAACTCCCACTTGGTTTCTGAATTTTTGACTGTGGACTACACTTCTGCCACGTTGGCTTCTTAAATCTTGACTGTGTAAAAGCCATATTTATAAAAAAAAAAATGACTTTAAAAGAAATTATAAAAAAAAAGTTAGTCGAAAATAATGTGACAATAGTATTATTAAAATTATAAATCTTAATCACAAGTGTTTTCACATAAAAAATAAATAAATAAATAAATACAAACAATCATATCATTTAATATGAAAAATACATACTAATATTTGATTTGTACGTACTAACTACCTATATTTTATTATATAAAATGTACACTTTATTTAAGTGAACGATATTATACTTTTTTTTTATTCTAAAATTGTTCTTCACTATTAATAATTATCACATTCAATAATTTGCTAAACAAATTTTCTTATTACCAAATAATTCAAAATTACCAACCAGTTTTACTCATTTAAAAGTTGCAAAATGATTTTCCTTATTTACAAAACTGTCTAAAAATTCAAATGTATGTATATATATAGATAGATTTGTGTGGGTTGGTGAAACTACATGAAACATACATCAGTACCAAAACAAAGACAAGAAGATGGCATTGTCCATTCCCACAACCAGCATGGCCACCACTACCACCACCACCACCGCTGTCATCTCATCCATCCTTCTCCTCCTACTCTTTCTTCCCACCTCTTACTGTTCAGAAAACTACAACTCAGCCATCCCAGTCTCTGATATAGATCTCTTAGAGTTCCCTTTAAATTTAGAGTATTTGGAAGCAGAGTTCTTCTTATGGGGATCTTTGGGTTATGGGTTGGATAGCATAGCTCCCAATCTCACCATGGGCGGTCCACCACCGGTTGGCACCACCAAGGCCAGACTTGACCCTTTCACGAAGGACGTTATCCTCCAATTCGCCTTCCAGGAAGTCGGTCACTTGAGGTAATTTCATCTAAATGATTTTTTTTCCCCTTTCTCAATACTACTCTACGATTCATTTGTTTGTAAAAAATATTTTTTATGAAAAATATGAAGGATTTTTTTCTAAAATATTTTTCATCAAAACAAACCGAGTGCTATTTTCTTTCACTTTCTAGAAATTTTTTTTTAGATGCGTTGGTCTTGATCATCTTATAAATGCAGGGCCATCAAGAACACAGTAAGAGGATTTCCAAGGCCACTGCTGAATCTGAGTGCAGAAGCATTTGGGAATGTGATGAATAGTGCATTTGGAAGGGCATTGAAGCCAGCTTTCGATCCATATGCTAATGAACTAAACTTTCTTCTTGCATCCTATGTTATTCCCTATGTTGGACTCACTGGATATGTTGGTGCAAATCCAAAACTCCTAAGCCCCATTTCCAAAAGGGTATGTGTATATGCTACAATCTCAATAAGAAACTGCCATGTGAATTGGTATCCATCATGTACCGGTATTTTGTGTATTGAGTAACAATCAATTGGGAATTGGATGATGCAGTTGTGAATTTTTTTAAATCACCAACTCAAAAACAATTTTTTATTTTGTTATATATATATATATATATAGCTTATGAGTTGACTGTGTCAATAATTTTTGAAATAATGAATTAGTATTGTATGAATTTCACCTATTTTTTCACCTCTTATCCCGGTGCATAAAATAAATACATATAAAATCCATCATTTCCAAAAAACTCATGTAGTGATAAAAAAAGAAAATCTTGATAAAACTCATCCAATAATCTATGAAACTAATTTCTTTTTTTTTTTCTTGCTATGTGTATGTATCAGCTAGTGGCTGGGCTTTTGGCCGTAGAGTCGGGCCAAGATGCAGTTATCCGAGGACTTCTTTACGAGAGGGCAAGGGAGAAGGTGAAGCCATATGGAATCACAGTGGCAGCATTCACCGACCGCATCTCAGAGCTACGAAATAAGTTGGGAAGTGCAGGCGTAAAAGACGAAGGCCTTATCATTCCAACTTTCCAAGGAGCCGAGGGAAAGCTTAGGGGTAATGTTCTTGCTGGGGATCAAAATTCTGTTGGATATGATAGAACCCCAGAGGAGATATTACGGATTATATATAGCAGCGGAGATGAGCATGTCCCCGGTGGCTTTTACCCTAACGGAGCTGACGGTAGAATTGCAAAATCACATCTACCATCTGCATAATGATAAGGCTTCAAATAAGTAGGAGCTAGTAGAGGCATTGCACTGAATCCTCTGTTTTCAAAATTCTTAAAATTAGCAAATGTTGGTGTCAGTAAGCTTCACTCTCTTAAGTATCATGTAGCACAGTCAAATGTAATGAGTATGGTTCTTCCATTATGGTAAAAATGATAGATCATTGTGTGAAATTTCACTCTCTTTTAAAAAAATTCTCAATTATAAAAGAGAGACATTTTTTTTACATATAATTTAACATATGACCATTTCAGAGAATAATTTGCTTATATGCCAAGCAAACAATTCATTTTCACCAAACAAACGTACATGACCACATATCATATATGTATATGCGTACATATAATAATAAAATCCCAATTATTGTTTAAGTTTTATCGTCAATCCTAATTATGATTTTAATGTTACATGTACACATATAGCAGCAACTGCTCAAGCTTAGAACTACAATTAGCAGCAACTGCTCAAACTTAGAACTACAATTAAGAGATTTATGTAGTAACTAAGTGAATATTATTTATTTCCTTATATATAAAGATTCAGTCAAATCGAGATCATCTATCCATTTTTATGGGCCTTTTAATTTTTTTTAATCTTTTTATTATACTTATGTAGATCTCACATTCGTTCAATCTTCAAGAGCTGGCTATTTTGTGGAAAATATGGACCATTGACCAGCACCATAAGTAGAAAATGTTGACCAAACATTATGAACACAAAAATAGCAAGAGACTTTATAATTACAAAGAATATAAGAAAAGTTAGCGTTGAAAAATTGAATACAGCCTATGCGGCAAATAAAAACGATTTGTACAATTGTTGTTGAGCATATCAATATTGAATCACCACAACATACAACAGTTTTAAAGGTTACGTTGTTGTTGCTGTTGTTGCTTTTGTTTTTGTTTTGTTTTTTTGTATTTTTTGTTTTTTGTGTCTTTAAAAGTATAAATTTTATTACAAAAATTATTTAAGAACTAATTTCAACTGTTGCAAGAATAGTCGCTAATAAGTCATCTAAAAAAGTGAAAAAAAAAAGAGAAGCTATTAGGGACAAAATTTTGAAAATATCGCTAATAAATGTACTTTTAAGGATAAAATAACCTGATCTCAAAGAAGTTTATTTTTTGAAACAAAACTTTTGATCTCTAGTAATTAATCACTTAATGTCCAATCTGGTCATTCAAAAATAAAATAATAACACTTTTAGCTACAAAAATATTTTATTTCTAAATTTTTGTCTTTAAAACCTTAATTTCTTATAGTAATACTAATGTCACTATTTAAAAAAGTTAAATTATTAAAAAAATCACATTTTCACATCTAATCTACATTACATCTCATTTTCAAAATAATTTTTGAGACACAAGTTTTAGATGGACTTGGGGTCACTGTTGTGCCTTTGGCACAGCAGTGATTGTTGTACCTCATTTTGAAATGTATTATGGGCTTATTTTTATGATCTGGACCGTTCATTTTGTAGGATTTGTTGAGTATTTCAAACCTACCAAAAATCATATTAATCGAATATCAATAACTATATGATCGAATTGCATATTTTTATACTATTTTTCAAAAGAAAAACTTCTTGTTTATTTTTTGATTATCAATCATATAGTTATTGGTATCCGATTAATATGATTTTTGGTACGCATGAAGTATTCAACAAACCTTACAACATGAATGGTTCAGATTATAAAAATAAATCCATAATACACCACAAAATAAGCCACAACAATCACTGCTATGTCAAAAGCACAGCAGTAACCCCAATTCCGTTTTAGCTACATACAGTTTTTTAGAGTGATTCTTATTTATTTGTCAAGATTTTATTTGGGTGTAAAAGTGGATCCGCAACCGTTTAGATTGGGTCCGGTTTTCAGCTCTCATTGAAGTCAGATATGGGTAGCTAGCTCTGCCCGTAAATGTATATGGATATTATTATAATGAATTTTATTATTATTTATTTTTTAATTTTATAAGTAGATTCATATAACATATTATATGTGTGGATGTAACGCCCTCAAAATAAACCCATTGCATACATAACTTTAATCAAGAAAACCAACCATTGTACCATACATCAGAGTGTTCTTATTGAAAGACATCACATGCAACATCAAAATAAATGCCCTAAGGGCTTACATCTCTCCAAGCTAACACTTGGAAACAAAAAAAAGATGAGTACTAACTCATTCTGCTAATAAATCTGTTCAATAAAAAAAAACAAAAAAAATATATCATATTGCTAATAAATCTGTTGAAAAAACAAATGACAACATTAATAAAAAAAAAAATTGAGATGCAAAAAATGTGTAATTTTAACAATATTAATAAATAAATAAAATTTGGAGTATAAAATTTTAGGAAAAAAGATTTAAGTATAAGTTTATAAATTGTTTTTGTATTAAAAAAATCTAGATTATAACTAGAATATCTAGTTTATTAGGGAATTTTTTTTTTTTTGTCATATCTACTAGAAATTTATAAATATTTAAGAAGGTCTAGAATTTTTTTTTTATTATTTATAATTAAAATATAATTTCTTTAGAGAATGAGACGGTTTGGGACAAAAACAAGTATGGATCTAGAATGAAAGGGAGTGTGGCATAAGTTTTTAAATAATTTTTTTTTTAACTTTTTAAATTCAAATGTTTTACATATACTTTAGAAGAAAAAACATTTTTTAATTTTCTAAAAATATCACTAAATTCAAAAACATATAAAATTTAATATTTTACGACATGAAATGTATGTTGTCTTAAATGTAAATATTTTATAACATATTTTTGTATGCCGTGAAAATATATATTTTTTATGATATATTTTGGCATGCCATAAAAAAATCAAATTGTATATATTTATTTATTTTTGTACAAGTTTTCATGACATTCATTAGCATGTCATGTAAAGTTATAATATTTTACAACATGAAATGCATGTCGTCTTAAGTACAAATATTTTACGACATATTTTTGTAAGTCGTAAGAACATACATTTTTTACAGCATACTTTTGCATGCCATAAATATATGAATTAACAACTTACATGGCATGTATGCTGTTATTGACAAAACATTAATAGCTTGCAAAAAAAATGTCGTATATTAACTACGACATGTATTTAATGCATGCCGTAAATATGATGCCGTAAATAGTTAATTTTATTGTAGTGGTTGTAGTTTTCAAGAGGCTTTTTACAAAAAGTCCCTTTTGTTTAATATATATTACAATTATATAGATGGATAGAGATATATATATATATAGATATAGTTTTGGAAGAAATTTTTAAAAAAATTACTATACTTGATGGGTAAAGATTAATGTATGAAATATTGAATATTTATTAATTTTGTAATAAATTCATTTTATATTTTCCAGCAAATTTACAATTAGGAAATAAAAAATTAAAAAAAAAATTACTCTACTTGATGTGCAAAGATTAGTGTTTTTATTTTTATTTTTTTTAATAGTATGAGACTTGGTGGAACACAAGAATACTTTGTGGACTTAGGTCATGTTTATTTGTACAGACTGGATAATGAGGAATTGTAATCCATCGAACTGTTAATCCTAAAATACATAGTCCTTTGATTATTTGATTGGAAATGATGTTTATCTTATGTTTGTTTAGTCATGAGATTAGAGTAGAGATGACAATTTAAACCCGGCCTGATGGGGACCCGACCCCAATTAACACGGGGTTTCCTCGAAAAACACCCCCGACAGGCCGGGGACGATATTCAAAAAAAAATCCCCGATCATTTTCGAGGCGGGGACGATGATAAATTCTTCCGCCCCGGCCCCGGCCCAACCCCGGCCCCGTTCCCCATCCCGTTTCTCCCCGCCTCCCTCTCCCTCTCTCATTTCAGATCTAATATATTACACTCATCTAATATAATATAATATTATATCTAATATATTATAATATATACTCATCTCTCTCTCTTATTTCAATTCTCATCTAACAATCCCAAAACCAAAACACAAGCTCGTTGCAGATCCTCTCTCAGATACTCATCTTAGATCCTCTCTTTCTCCGCTGCTCTTATCTCTCGTCTCTCAAGCTCGTTGCAGCGGAGCTTTGACAGCTCCGCCGCTCGTTGCTCCACCGCAACCAAAGTCTCCGTCTCTCCGTTGCTTTGACAGCTCCACCGCCATGATCACTCTCTCAAGTTCACGACTCAGATCTTAGTTGTATGTGTGTGTGTGTGTGCGTGTGTGTGTGTGATGACAACGACTCACTCAGCTCTGACTCCGTCACCGTCGGGGATTTTACGGGGTTGAGGAAACCCGATCCCCGTTAGGGGACGGGGGAGGGGGAAGTGAGGGGTTCACCATCGGGGATCGGGGTTGGGGACGGGGAGTTCCATACTTTCGGGGATCGGGGACGGGGAGGACAAACCCCGGCCCCGCCCCGCCCCGTTGCCATTCCTAGATGAATGCATGTGTTTTCAAAAATAATATATTATGTTAGTAGAGGCCGATCTTTGATCGGGCGAGCGGGGGTGCTCATTTTAGGACCTTCCCCTATCGTATCCAAGTTCCCGACCCGAGGCAACTTTGACGATGATAGACACAGTTGGTTGCTCACCAACTGTGATGGTGTGCTTGCAAGGGATTGGGCGGTCATATTGGTGCCAACCTATGTTTCGCTATGATGCTTTTGCACCCATCTGTTTCCTTTTCTGATGTAATGTTTTATCGTTCATCAATAAAGGTTTTTTTTTTTTGCCAATCAAAAAAAAAAAACCGATCAAGACCTCTCTTCTCTCCCTGTGTCTGTGTGTGTGTGATGATGATGATGATAGCGACTCAGATCTGCAATCTGCAGATGTGTGTGTGTGTGTGTGTGAGATGATGATGATGATAATGACAACTCAGATCTTAGATGTGTGTGTGTATGTGTGTGTGTGTATGTGATGACAACGACTCACTTAGCTCTGTAACTCTGTCACCGTCGAGGATTTTACGGGGTCGGGAAAACCCAATCCCTGTTAAGGGACGGTGGTGGGGGGAGTGAGGGGTTCCCCGTCGGGGATCGGGGTCGGGGACGGGGAGTTCCATACTTTCGGGGATCGGGGACGGGGAGGACAAACCCCGGCCCCGCCCCGCCCCGTTGCCATTCCTAGATTAGAGTTCTTCATCAGGTGATGCTCAAGTAGTGGAGGCTTTGCAATCACAAGCTTTTGCTGGATGTTAGCTGTTGGCGACCTTTTGCTGTGCTGGTTTTTGTGTTGTCTGTTGCTTTTTGTTTTGTTTTTCTTCTGGTTGGTTGCTCACCAACTGTGATGGTGTGCTTGCAAGGGATTGGGTGGTCATATTGGTGCCAACCTATGTTTCGCTATGATGCTTTTGCACCCATCTGTTTCCATTTCTGATGTAATGTTTTATCGTCCATCAATAAAGGTTTTTTTTTTGCCAATCAAAAAAAAAAAATGAGATTAAATATCATGAAATGACTATTCTTTTTAATCTTATATTTGTTTGAGAGATTGAGAAGAAGGATAAATACTCAAAAAACTATTTTGTCCTTTTGAATTGTTTACTAAATAATAGGAATATTAAATTTGAATTGTAAATTTTATTTTATTTTTTGACCAGAACTTTTAAAAAATTGAATAAATAGAACATCAATAAAAATTACACAAATTTATTTTAATTTTTAATTGAGATTTTTAAATTTTATTTTACTTTACTAAGTATAGTTAATGCCATGAATGCACCAAATTTGAAATTTTTTTAA